AAAATAAGAGATTCTTAGAAATCTCAAGCAATAATTCAGGTAATCAATATTAATAATATTTTGATAGAGAGCAAATGCATTCACATTGTACAAAGTTTATATAAAAAATGGAAATTTATTTTAAAAGGTTACAAAATAAAAATGATTGGTGGCAAATCATGTATAATGTTTGTTGGAAATGAATTTATAATTATTAAATTCATACAAATTGTTACAGACACATTTATCTTATTCCAGGAATATTGGTTATTGTTACATATTTGAGATGATATATGGTACAAACATACTTTTTCATCAAATCAATTGAAATGTGTTAACAAATATGTAATAATTCATGATCAATTACTAACTTATTAATTTTAATCACTGAAATACTTAAAAGTTCAATATAGTAATTTATAGTTTGTTATGTGAAGATTTGAATTTGAGGATGTGTATGTGGTATTTTGTGAATGTATTTCTTTTTCTCGATTTTCAAAACCATGTGCAAGAACTGTCATAATACTTTTAAATAATGGAAGAATTTTATTTCACCTTTTTATCCATATATTCTAGCTCAGTACAGCTAAATATTTTTTCTTGTTTTTTAATATTTCAGTAACTAGGAACAAATGACCCTTCATTTTATTTTGTTATTGAAGTTCACAATTCACTGAAGTCCAATACAAATATAAAGAAGGGTTTTCATAATGATTAAAGGTTTGGGTTTAATGATGTTGTGAATGATGATCTAAGACTTGCCATGGGGAGATAATTGCATTGTGAATTGACATAATGATAATATTGTTTTAGAGGATAAGTGAATTTATACTGTTTTTGTAATTGTAAAATAGTTTCAAAACCTTTGTATAATTATTATGCAACAGACTATATAACATTATCAAAGTTCTCACATTATTTTAACATATCAGCTCCAGTGGAACAGATATTACCCCATTGTTGTACTGCAAGAAATAGCAATTACTGGTTTAAAAATTTAGGAGTATCCCATTTATTAATGTGATAATAGATAAAAGTAACAAAATTAGAAGTTAGAATAAAATAAAAACATCAAAGAAGAATCCTCATTTGGCTCATTATTATGAATATACCAAATTAGTGATAAATGGATAAAACAATATCAAGACCTCTTAATTAGTATTGATTTAAAACAAAACAATTTTTAATTTTTAACCAATAAACAAAGTAAAATAAATTAAAATTGAATTACATAAAAAATAATGGAACCTTTATTTTAAGTGTATCACTATTTATTCAGTACATAACAGAATATAAAGGATAGTTTTCTATTTGAGGTTACATTCTGTGAATTGTAACTATCATATTGCTCCATTCTCGTTTTTGAAAATGGATCATTTGATTCTTTGGATATGAAATGAGTGAAAACTGATTATGATTAATGAGTCATGGGATTGGTATTTTTTATTTACAAAATGACATGGTAAGGCTGGGTAAAGGGCCACTAATCTATTGGGATTCTTTGGGTGTGGAAAGAAGGCGCCTTCAACATACAATACATTATAATAAAGCTAAATGTAATATTAAATATTACATCTTTAGTTTTCATGAAACCACAAAAATCCATTTGAGCTATTTTAAAACCCTTCGTCTTACTGCAAATAATAGGCCCTATCCTAACTTGAGCCTCAGCACACCTCTCACCCTCACTGACTTGAACCACCATTACAATCTTATTTCTATTTGGAAACTCTCAGTTTTTCCAGTTACTTTTTATTTTCTTTCCAATCTACTTACTTGATTCAACAGAAGACTCAGACTGATATTTCCAAATATATATTGATATATTCAATAATACTAAAATCATGACTATGTATTTTACTTAAAGTGCTTAGTTCAAAGATTATCAACACACTAAACTCTATCATTACAGTTTCTCAAAGTCTCTTTACAGTAATTTTAAAGAGTTGATTGTTTTAATATGTAACCATGTTGAGTAATTCTCTTTGTAGAAGTTATTCTGTTTTCTTTGCTATTATCAGTGATATTGTTAGCAATTCTTTTATCAAAGGAAAGACAGTGCATTCACTCATTTATGTTTATGTATCATTGTATACTATGTACCACAACTTTCCAGGGAATCACATTGATAGTATTGAAAATACTTGTAAACTCATACTAAACATAGCAAAAGTATGAAAGAAAGAAAAGTACATTAGCAGAAATTTTGTCAACAAAAACACATAGATAAGGATGTTTAAATTTCTCATTAATTTTAATGAGTTAAATACTATCATCTAACAATAATACGATTCATTATTGGCAGATCTATTTTTTTCAATCTGTTTTGCATTATTTCCAATAGAAAACAAAGGTAAATAAAAATTGTAACAGGATCTCTAATTAAAAGGAACCAAAGAATTCTAATTTGACATGTTTTTGGTGATTTGAGCACATGAGTGTGTGTATATGTTTGAATGACTAGTGTGTTTCTAAATAAAAACAATGTATAAGTTAAATAGATGCTTCATGACAGTGGATGTAAACACATTAAATAGTATGTATGTGTGTACGAAGGCCCTATATATACTGAAGTCTTCATAATGTCTTTTAAAGTACACAATGAAATGGTATGTATAACACAAAGGAAATAGTGAATGGTAATTTTCAAATGATACCTCTAATACAAACATAAGTAATCCTATCTCTGTGATATGAAGATATTAATAAATATATTCTAAAAATCTAAAAAAATTATTGTAAGAAATTTATGTTTTGAAAATGAATGGCAAAAGTATGAGTTTTTGGGATCTAAATAATAATGTATTAACTTTACAAATCTTTCACAAGCCATTTGCAAAATATCAGATTCTCTTCTACCTCCACCAAAAACAAATAATTTTTGTGTTAATTTAAACTATGTGAAAGTTAAAAAAAATTTGGAACAAACATTTAAAAAGAACTAAAAAAAATGGCTTATAAGTATTACTATCACTACTAAATAATTGTTAAATTGAAATGTAATGTCATTAACAAAATAATAACTGTCCCATTCAATTGAAATTAGATACACAAAATAAGTTTTTTTATATTGCCAGTCATACATTATACCTAATTCAAGGAAGAATAAAAATGATACATGTAATTACAAGTTATGTACATGTAAAAAATTGGAATTCTGTCTACACAATTGTAAATGGAAGCTTCATTTTCATTCTTTGTAAGAGCAAATAAGATTTATATGTTTTTAAAACAATGTGAAGGAAAATTATATACTACAAAATATGAACGTATATAATTGAAGTAAGGTAATAGTAGTAAGAATGTAAGAACCAAAATAAGCTATTTTGTGTAAATTTATTTTGTAAAACTAGTTTCCTGATAAACAATCATTTTGAACTCATGTTATTTTAAAAACTTATGAATTAATCTGTATGTCAATGGATGATAACATCATCTATGAAAATTTATGATCATGTGGATGAACATTTATTAACACATACATACTTTTTCAACTTCTCTGAACATGTTTTCATACATTATAGAACCATAAAAATTATGATATTTTTGTGTGTCTGTAAGTGTGTGTGTGAGTGTTTCGTGTTTCACATGTGAGTTTGACCAATCAACAAAAGTCTCATTTGTGTAATGCAACTGTAAATGTATTTCTGTACTTATGTACAAGAATGATACATGTAAAGATATAAGAACAATATCTACTTGTTACATAGATGAAGAGGACTCATTGATTTTGGAAAACTCTGGTAACTGGATGCTAACTTATTGTGTAAAGTGTTTAAGCCAACAGCCCAGATACACCAGATATTGCTCATTATAGGGACAAAATATTCATTATACTAGTCGGAATAATTTTTAATCAGTATCATGGTACGTGTGAAATATTAAAAACCACTACCCACAGAGGATATAAACATCAGTTAAATGAGACCATTATGTCCCTGGAACCTTTATTTATAACAATGGAGTATTTCTTTTCACTTTACATGTGTAAAGTACCAGTAACAATACAAAATTAGATTTATGAACATATTTATTGGCTTTGCTGCCAAAACTTATACAATACATATGTTTCCATATATTATTTAAATATTTCAGTTTCCTTTACGTTTATGCAAATCACTCAGAGTAATGAAACCTTTTAACTTCCAAGTCACCACCAAAAAGTTACAGGTTTAGAAGTAACTTTGTTGAAGTATTTAAAGATTTGTTGTACAGATATAAGGTATTCATGGGGTAAGAGCTTTATAAAAAATAGTCTCCCATGTTCTCAAATCTTAAATTGAAATAGAATTATTGCACTGACTTGACAGGTCAAAAAACTACCAAACAGTGCAGAAAACTATGAAAATCTATTTATTTTGGTTGTGAATATCCGAAACAAAAGATGCAAATTTACAAGAGACATCATTTTCTGGGGTAGAAAGTTATATACATATCTTTGAAACACCTCTACTAGCATTCAAAATGCAAAATTGAAATAATCGTTTTCATATTCTATTTCAGCCTGTGAAAAAGTGGGTGGAGATTGTGCAGTTGTAGAGTAATAAATTAATATAATGCATACCAAAATCATAATATTAAAATAAAATGAAAAATTTCCATTATATTACATTTACCATACAAATTTATGAATGTTTGTAGTGGATGAGCACTGTTGTTTTGAACAGTTGTGATGCCAGACGATCTATACCACTAAGTACTCAAGAGGCAAAAAATAAATGTGCTTTCCATCAAGTACAATACTATGATCATTTCTGTACAATTTTATTTATACACTGGAAAATACAAAATTATTTAGTGCTCAAGGAAATCGTGCAGTTTCTTTCTTTTAATATTGTTATTGTATAAAGAATTATGTGCTTCCTTGTAGGGTTCTTTCTGCTGAAATATTCCAGAATGAGATCTCGGTTTATTGAAGATTAAACGCAAATTGGTTTAAAATGTGTTTGAAACGTTTCAGTTTTAAATCCTTAAATGTAAAAGTAAATTTTGCATTAACATCAAAATATATTTTAATTAATTTACTCTAACTCATAATCATTTTCAGGCTCTCTCATTTCACACAATTCATGAGAAATCAAATATAAATAATATCTGACAAATAATAATAAAATCCTCACAGCCAACTATATAAAAAAAAGTGAAACATTATAATATCATGCTTCCCTTTTTTTATATGGATTCTACAACAGTATCATTATATGGTACTGTTGTTTTAATTATTATATTATTGAGTACATTTTGAATTGCACAGAGCTACACACATAAACGAGATGTTTCTAAAAATACCCATCAATCAAGAGAAAGCAGAGAAAAGGAAAACTTCCATAAATATATGTCTAAATACTGACATTGAAATGGAGTAAATAAAATGATTGCATTGAAGAGTGACTGGAATATGATCTCGTATCTCTGGTTCTCTTATTTCAATACCCGTATCCCACAGGCTTTTTGAAGGTTGAAGAGATAACAAATTCAGAACTGAGAGGCTGCACGATTTCTAAGATGCAAGATGTTTGACTCCACATTGATTCTATGTATCTTTGATACTGAACTGTGGAATTAAGAGATTGTGTTTACCAATGTGAGCATATTATATTCTTCATGGGAGCTGAGCGCCTGTTGATGACGACGAGCTGGGTTCATGAGACGAACTTGTGGAGCCCTCTGGTTTACGATTTGGATACTCATATACTAAGCAATGATCTCTAGCAAGAGTTTCAGAGCAGGAGGAGGTGGAGGAGGACTTGCCCTTGCGGGGGAGGGTGGTGGCCTCGCCTAACGCGACCATGTCTCTTGGTTTCCACACTGGTGACCCTATAAGCAAAAAGTCACCCAATAAAGAAATTTCCTTTGATGATCAATTATTTACAACATGACAGAACTACACCTATCTCGAAATCAACTCCAGAAATATACAAAAGATACACAAAAATGTTTTCTCAGATCAGACTAAAAGCATAATATTCTTTATGATAAATGCTGCACAACAGTAAATTATTGTAAGAGTGCTTTGATATCTACCAATAAAATAAAATAATAGTTATTATTTTAAGTCAATTTATACTGGATGACGGAGAAGAAAGGGTAAAGGGACCTTGCAAAATGCAGGTCAAGGGTCATGATGGTACTACTCCAATTGGATGTAGAATCTTTTGTAAATATCCACAGTTGTTTCAGATAGTGTTTAACAAAATGGAGTTTAATGAACTTTCAGATAGATATTTTAACACATACAGAATTAAACATAATATAAGCACTATTATAACACTACAATAATAATGTGAATTGATATTCGAGATATTGTGTATTTTAAACATGTTGTAATAATTGTATTATAGAGAGTATCTCAAGAAGTTGCTATTAATGAGGAGACTCATTTTATTTAGAAAATGCAAGTTAAGCCAAATATTATTTTTTCTTTTACAATTTTGACAGAAGATATTTGAAAAAGAGAATTGACAGAAAATGCATTTCATTAAATATTTTATTTATACTGAAAGATAATTAATATGAAAATAGAGTTAAGGAAAAAGTGTTTTATTTGTCTGAGTGTTGCCGTGTTTTTCTGGTTGAAAACCAATAGACATTGAAATTTACTAAACAATAGCAAAGTAATAAGTTAGAAAAGCATAATATCAACTGAAGAAGGTATTTAAATAGAAGGTTGAGCGAAAAGCCAGCCATTCATTTCTTGTAATGACTGAGGAGATGAGCTGTATAAGAAATGTTGGCCTAATGTGAATTTGTTTGGTAATAATGAAATGTTTAACTCATGAACAAAATATTATTTTGTAAAACCTCAGAACAAATTGGTCAAAATATACCCATTATTTACTATTCATTGAACTTCTAAGCTTCAGTATTTGGTCAAGTATGAAGGTAGTAGAGGCATTAGAATGTTCGTTAACACTTTTCTTCACAATAAGGTATTGAAATTTTGTTAAAAGAAAATCTACATGGAGATCTTCAGAAATCAAGTACTACTTTAGAGATTTAATAAGCTAAAAACAGTCTTTTAAGGTAACAAAGTACCTATGAGATTGAACTCAAAAATTACAAAACACATTTGAAAATATTTTTTGTTTTAACAGTGATAATAAAGTACAATTTAGGAATTAATATACATTTAAATTTCTGATAACAAAACATTTTCTTGAAATTCTAATAGAGTATTTAATTTTTTAATTTATAATATTAAATAACAGATTTAAAAATTTGTATCAATGTCTACATCTCAATTACTTTACATGATCAAAATTAAAAAAAAAAAAAAAAAAAAAAAGTAAACAAGATTACTTCAATATTTAAAATAGCATCAACAAAACTTGCATGAAAAATAATTTGTGATTTATCATTTCCTTGCTTTTATCATTCACTGACACACAGTAAAGCATTAAAATATGTTATATTGAGTAATAAACATTAGGCCTAGATAACATTAAATTAAATTTGTGATTAAAGAAAGAAGGGATGAGGTCTCATATTTGCTCATGGTTTTAACACAGAAAATCCTTTAGCTTCAATTAATCAATAGGGTTAATCTGGCAATGGATTCTTCTTAAGAATTGTTGATAATATGGTTTGATTCAATAAGACTCACATTATTTATTTTACAAAGAATAAGGAAACAATTAAGAGGGGGAGATTTTTAAGGATGGGAGTAGAAGTATTGATAGCAAATAATATGAATAAGGAAAATGAATAAGGATGTTCACTTATTTAAACATAAAGTACCAAATGATAGTCTTATTTTCATGAATTTTTGTTTCAAATTTCTCTAAAAATGTTGCACATATCCTGAACAGTTCATGGTAAATGGTACAAATAACGGACTTGTTTATCACATTGATTAAAAAGTTTGCCCTTCATTTGTTATTCAAAGTCAGAAAAGGAATATGCCAGTGGTATTTTGAAATTCTTGGGTGCTGTGTAGACTTTGGTTGGTGATAGGCTGTTGGAATGTTGGTAATAGAGTCGTCTAAGTAGGGCAAATCCAAAGTATTTCTGATGTTGATTTCAGTTTGGAGACCCTCCCACATAAGTATTTTTGAAATAATATTTTTTCGATCATTAGCTTGAAAAAAGGGTAGGGTTTTAAATGGGGTAAAATCACCAATAAAAGTTTCCTCTCGCGATGTAGTGAGGAGAGGAATTTTGGGAGAAAGGGACCCAATCGCCCGCAGCCGACCACCACTGCCCAGACAGACACATCGCAGTTGGAGCAAGGTACTAAAACTGGAGGAAGAGGAAGGAAATGGAACCAAGTAGAAAATAAGAGTTGCTTGTGGTTTCAACGAAGGAGAGGTTTAAAAGCAGATGACACTGAGTACCTGGAGAGCAACTTTCTACTGAAAGATAACTACCATATCTGTGTGCTAAAATTGGTAGAGTCCGCGCACGTTTTCGTGAACCCTGAATCCGCTAGATGCGAGAGACGCGCGCGCGCGCGCGCGCGTGTGTGTGTGTGATTTTTTATTTCACAGAACTTATGCATTAAATATGTGGCTCGTTTTGCGATGCAAAATAGTTTCTATTAAACGGGGGCGAGTATTTCAGTTTTCAGATTTAGTTAACAACGCACGTTGCTATCATTTGTGCTTAATAAAACTCATGAGAGTAAAGGACTGGGGGTAGGTATTGCGGGGCTCAATAAAACGTGCGCGTATAATACATTTTTTCTACTTCCATTGTATAATTCTCTCATTTGATGGCTGCAACCCATAATAATATTACTCGCACAGCGTTTCTTGAACGACGGATTGAAGAAATACGGGTAGAGTGGAGGTATTTGTTACAAACTCTGCCACGATAGACCACAGCATAGATTTTATGAAGTAATACCAAGCAGTCATGCCTTCGTAACTTTCTCAATAATTTGAATTCTAACTTTCTCAGGAGTTCGAGGTATCTCCTGTGATAGATCTTCACCTGCTTTGGTCATTTCATTTTTTGGAGAAAATCACGGACAGAAGTTTTCAACAGAAAATAGTTTATATTTCGCGCCAGTGAAGATGTGTTTGGAATGTTGCCATCAGTGCTCGTTACGATCCTTCAACTGTTGATGTGTCAGATAGGGACAAGCACGGTCACCATTCAAGAAAAGATGCGCGATTAATACTCATTACGATACAGATTTCATTATGATACACTTTCTTGACTAATCACAGAGAAGTTTACAAACCGTTGACATTTAATTAATCGTCGAGAATCGTTCTAGTAAATATTTCGTTCAGTTGTGTACATTAAAATTTCATTTAATACTATATTACGCTTGTCAGTTTTAATTTCTTTTTTTTAGTAACTTTTAGGTCAGTTTTACTGCAAGTTTGTTTTTTTCTCTCCAGACTGAACACTTTTATAGAATCACTAACATTATATTTACTACTATTTTTTAAATTGTAGATTAGTGTTCTGTAGAGGACCAAACACATGATCGAAATGTCATCTTTTGAAATAAAAATTAATTTGCCTGATCATTTTGCCGTTGAATATTATTCTATTAATAACCTTTAGACATTAAAACATTATAAAGTAAAATGTGAGTAATAATTTAGGAAATAAGCGCCATATTTATATTTTTTTTAGAACTGGCTGTAAAGAGCTCCTTGGTATCTGCAATTTGGAAAACCTGGAAACAGCATAATACGTGGTGTCAACTCAACAGAAGCCAAAAAGGCATTTGCACTATTGGCAGGGAAGCGTGCGGGAGAAAATTCATTTAAGTTCGACGCGCGCGCTATCAAATTGAAGCAAGCCGGCTTTGACGACGGGTTTCCGAAGTGGGAAGCGTGCATCAAAGCGGACGAAGGATTTCCGAAGTGGGAAGCGTGCATCAAAGCGGACGAAGACTCGCGCGACGCGTTCCCTTCGCACCGATTCCACCGAACCATTCAACTTAACAAAAGTTGAAAATATAAACGTGAGTCAGGATCTTTCGATTCCCGGTGCCAAGAACGACAAGAATTCCAACTTAATGACATTTTTAAAGGCTCCAGTAGAAGTCGTGACGGAATTGAAATTCTAGTTGCAGAGAGATAGTTGTATATTGCTCCATCACGATTCTCAAAATGAAATTCTCGAGCTCATTGCCGCTAGAGTCATGTCGAAAATCATGAAAGCGACAGTAGCGGAATACTTTTCGATTATATTACATGAAACATCTAACGTGTCCCAAACTGAGCAAGTCTGTTTCAGAATTGTTTCCTAAAATTTAACAGCAAATGAATAATTAGTTCGATATTTTCAACTCCAAACACGAAAGCAAAAACCTTAGTTGACTTATAGTGGAATCGATAAGTCATTTCATCTTGTAAAAGGTGCAGTATAATATTTTAATTTTTAAATTTCGTTTATATTGTTGTTAGCAAGAAAACACCAAGTTTTCCACCTCGAAATACTTCGGGGCAGGTTTTGGTAATCAAAATACCCAAAACATTTCGAGATTTTTTTTTGTTTTTTGCATAACAACGTTTTAATGACTGTTGTACAATTTTAAAGGTCATAAAATTCTGTACAAATTTGCTTTGTAAATTATTTTTACCAAAAAAAGAGTAACAGAGTTACGACATTTTAAACTTCCACCAAATTTTCCTTTTTATTCTGAAGTTGCCCTTTTGCAAGTTAGACCCCCTTTTGGTTCCCCATCGACTGCACTACTAGTTTAAATTTTCGTCATACATGAGACGCCAGTTTAAAAACTCAGAGGCAGTGATATGATGGTGGGCATCGGACATCTCTGGAAGAATCTCAAGTTTACAGTCGCGAATACGCGAAGAAAATCCTCGAGCATAATTTGTGCATTGTAATGCTCATAACCTCAACCTCGCTGTCCAGGATAGAAATGTTTTACTAGTAAGACAATTTGTTGGAAAAGTAAAAGATTTGATAAACTTTGTTCGAAAATCGCCGAAACCCGTTGCAGAGTTCAAGGACTTGTAGACTGAAGCATCAAAGGAGAGTGACAACAAATTACCGTCTCTTGCAGCCTATTGCCCGACCAGGTATGTATTATCATTAAACATTTTATAAAATTATGATGGGGATTATATACATAATTATTTCTATTTTACATAGGGATAGCATGCATCAAAGCTCTGAAGACAGTAAGGGTAAATTAAACGCAGTTGATGTAGTTTGTCCATGATCATCCGGTTGAAAAGGATACTACAGCTGCAATGCAGTCACGGCGAAAGAATCGGGGTTCTACGTTTATTTGGAGTCGTTCGAGTGAATATTTTATCTAACTATGATGATTGAAATTTTCGATCGCAAGAAATATTAAATAAGGAATCCCAGAAGTCAAGTCTATGCGATATAAATTTATATGTAAAGATTGTAGCAGTGACTGATGTGTTGTACAGCGAAAAGTTCCTAATCGCCTTAATACAGGATCAAGCGAAAATGGCAAATTAGCACCAGAAGATTTCTTCAGGAAATCATATTTTGGAGTTTTCGAAACTGGGCTCGTGTCTTTAAAAAATCGATTTGTTAAATACAGCGCAAGTTTTTAAATCGTTAGAACTATTCGTTCTGGAACAAACCGCCGAATTCGACAAAACTGTACAGTTTTGTGTAAATGATTTCTAAATAAAAATATTGCTGAGGGTCCGGGACGTGTGTATGAATCTTTTGAAGAGACAAAATGAATCAGCTAAATACTTGGAGGAAGATTAGATTTTCTGCAGAGTGTGAATGGACAAGAGGGCTTATTACAGAGTTGGTATGTTTTGTTCGTCTGTTGATCACAATTCCTAGGTCGTCCTGATCAGTGATCACGAAGTTTGTCGGTATTGCGTCGACCCAAAACGTATATGCGATCAACAATGTTACGAGATCGACTCAACAGTATTGCTATTTTACTTCTTTATAGTGACATAGATAAAATAGATTTGCAAAAAATGTTTAATTAACACGTTTTACTTTCCTCCAATGTAATATTAATAATTAGGCAATGTTAAATCACCAATCAACAAATCTCTACATACCTTCATTGTACTCTTACTTTTGGGGGCCCAGAAGACTGGTATCTTTAAGTTTTGTCCGTGAAAAATGTTTAAAGAAAAATAATTCTTATGAAACTCTTATTTTGGGGTATTTTTGGAAATATTTGGTACATTTAGTTTGGTATAATTGGTTTATTGCGTATATTTGGTTTATAAAAATACGGGAAAACAACAAATACAAGAAGGCAGAAAATATAATTTAAAGTGTTAATATTCAAGAATACTTTTTTAAGGAAATGTTTATTTATTTGTAATGAAACCTTCGAAGAGGTTTGAAAATTGAACTTTTGCAATTTTAGAAAAGAAAAAATTTTGAATGAAAATTAGAACTCTTACCGTACTTACGTTACAATTTAAGACGAAATTTGAAAGA